CTGGTGTCAGCAGCAGGGGGGGAAGCCAGCGGACGCCATCTGATAACTAATAATCATCAATGTTCCTGTAGTCCGATGTAATGAGATATTTGATTTGTAGTGCTACATGCTGCACACATTATTCATAAAGCGGACACGTCCCTGGTGCATTCTCACAAACCACCGCACGATGGCGTCACACCCATTGGAATCAAACACCGACCAGCGGCAATGCCAGTCAGTGGCACCAGGTGGCGCTGTATACCAAGCTGGCCCCCTCCACCTCCACACAGCTCGCCTTCTGCTGCTTCCTTGCTGCAAATGAGCTTCCATGCTACAATTCAATTATATATATTTATTAGAATTGTACCTGTATTATCTGCATTTTGTTTATTTCTTTTTTTGCATTACGAATTTAGTTTTTCAGATTTTAATTCGCAGGCAGAAATCCACTAAAAAGTGCGAGCTCCTCGGTCTCCTCCTCGATGTCCACCCCCCAGCATGCCTGTGGCCGGGGAGAAGGAGAAGAAGAAGAAGAAGTGTCCCTCTGCAATTTGCAGGGATCATCTCAACTCCCCTCCATGTGAAAACAGAAAGTGTTACATTAAATAAACACAAGTGTCAGGATCACTTTAAATGCCCCGAAAACACACTTCCATCTGGGAGTCATTTCTCGCCTGGGCTCCTTTTTTTTTTTTTCTTTCTGCCTTGCCTACAAATTCGACCCAATTCAGCGGAAAATTCGACGCGATGTTTCATTTCGTTCCTCCGAGAATATAAATATATAAAAAAAACAAAAATGTCAAAAACATGCCTTGTGTATCAGCCCTGAGAGTGCTTCCGTTCTTTATTTCCACTTTGATTACAAAGTTGGAGATCGCAGCGTCATGAAAATGATCATTTTTAGAAACAACAACCACCGCCGCCCCCCCCTCCACTTCTAAATTCATGAACTCCAATCGGCTTTAAGTGGGTCTATTTTAAGCATTTTGGCAAGTGCTTGCTAAAGCAAAACACGGCTGGGAATCCATTGATTAGCAGCGAGACTCTCTTGATTGAGAAATCTAATTACTGCTGCTAATGGGGGACATCAAAAGCTCCGATAAATGGCGTTTAATGAAACCTGAATAATAAAATAAAAATAAGGAAGGGGTGCAAATATTTATGTAAAATATACAGAAGGGGTTTTTTTTAAAAATTTAATTTTAAATATATAATTGAGCTAAAAAAAAGAAAAAAAGAAAAAAACAAAACAACAAAATCAATTTAATTGCATTAAAAATATATAAATCAGGATATAATTGTTACAATTTTGTCAGAAGTTTATTTTTTTGAGGGATATAAAGTAGTTTAAATCTAAACTAGCTGGAGAAAAAAAACACATTGTTAATTCGTTTTTAATTATTTGTGATCATTAATTAAATGACAAGTTTAGGATTAAAGTTACATTTATTGTCGGACTGTTACCAGTCAGAATCCGGTTATACTATATAAATATATATATTTTTTGGGGGTTCTGGGGATTTGTTTGAATTGTTTTAATTTATACTTTATAAATACAATATTGTGAGGGGAAAATAAATATTATTATTATTGAATCCCAGGTTTTGCAGAGTTCTCAGGCTGGTAGGAAGCTGCCTCTAAAGTTTGGGGGAGCCCAGATTTGGGGGGCTCAGCTCCATCCAGCCTGCTCCATATTTGGATAAGTACAGGGGGGGAGGGAGATTTGGTGCTGGAGTCCTGTGGAAAAGTCTCTGCGAGCTGATTGGCTGCTGGCTCCCCTTGCTGTGCCCTGATTGGTCGGAAGTTGTGGAAGAGGGTGTGGAGAGCTGCCAGTAAAAGCTTAGCTCGCAGAAAAAAGTTTGGAAAAGTTTTCCATAGTTGAGAAAGAAGTCCAGGAGAGCAGAGCTGAGATCTGAGCCTTCTCCACCCCCAACCACCCTCCTCCTTCCAGCCCTGGCCTGGCAGAACCGGTACCCGGGCATTGGACCTACACTGGCCATGAGCTGAGGATGGTGCTGAGCTAAAGGCAACTGTGACTGTGAGCCGTCCACCTCCAGGGTGACCCCAGAGCCCCCATCCTGCCTGCTCAGATCTCAGCATCGATGATGCAGGCTCGTTACTCCGTGGCTGACCCCAATGGCCTGGGGGTCGTGCCCTACCTGAGCGAGCAGAACTACTACAGAGCGGCGGGCACCTATGGCACCATGCCCACCCCGATGAGCGTGTACCCCGGGCACGAGCAGTACTCCTCGGGCATGAGCAGGTCGTACGGACCCTACCACCACCACCAGCCTTCAGCACCCAAGGACCTGGTCAAGCCACCCTACAGCTACATCGCCCTCATCACCATGGCTATCCAGAATGCCCCGGATAAGAAGATCACCCTGAATGGCATCTACCAGTTCATCATGGACCGCTTCCCCTTCTACAGGGAGAACAAGCAAGGCTGGCAGAACTCCATCAGGCACAACCTGTCCCTCAATGAGTGCTTCGTCAAGGTGCCCAGGGATGACAAGAAGCCTGGCAAGGGCAGCTACTGGACCCTGGACCCCGACTCCTACAACATGTTTGAGAATGGCAGCTTCTTGAGGAGGAGACGGAGGTTCAAGAAGAAGGATCCCAGCAAGGACAAAGACGACCGCCAACAGAAGGAGCCTGGCAAGCTCCAGGGTGGCATCACCAGCTTGGAGGGCGGCAAGGAGGTCCACCATGACAAGAAGATCGTCATCAAGAGCGAGTCTCCAGAACTTCCACCGGTCATCACCAAGGTGGAGAACCTGAGCCCGGACGGTGGCAGTGCCATGCAGGATAGCCCAAGGAGTGTTGCCTCTACCCCTTCTGTGTCCACCGACAGCTCCATCCCTGACCATCACCCCTCCAGCAATGGTTTGTCGGGCTTCAGTGTGGAGAACATCATGACCATCAGGACTTCGCCTCATGGGGAGCTGAGCCCGGTGCCTTCTGTGCCCCACCGGACAGGTATGGTGCCCTCTTTGCCCCTGAACTACGCCCAGAACCAGCCCTCCATCTATAGCCAGGCCTGCGCTCAGGGCATGGACTCCAGTGCCAGCTACCAGTGCAGTATGAGGGCCATGAGCCTGTACACCGCGGACAGAACTGGGCACATGTGCGTGCCCACTACACTGGAAGAAGGCATCTCAGATCACCACAGCGGAGCCTCGTCCCCCCTTAACTCCATGAGCCTCAGCTCCAGCCAGGAAGGGGCCCTGTCCTCCAGCCACCACCAGCAAGGGGGCACCGCTGGGCAGACCCCATCCTGGTACCTCAACCATGGGGCAGAGCTCAACCACCTCTCCGGGCACACCTTCGGCTCCCAACAGCAGACTTTCCCCAGCGTCAGGGAGATGTTCAACTCTCACCGCCTTGGCATCGAAGGGTCAGCCTTGGCAGAGCACCAGGTGGGCACCAATGCCAGCTGCCAGATCCCCTACAGTTCTGCCCCCTCTATATATCGCCATAGTAGCCCTTACTCATACGACTGCACTAAGTACTGACACCCCCCAATGCCAAGGCATCCCCAATCCAAAACTGGCACTT